TCCCTTTTACGGCACATCAAATTTTCGATCAAAACATTTTTGAGGTACAAATTTTCTAAAACACAATATCGTGTAGCTTATTAACTATGATGTAGTATATATGTTAATCAACTATTGCATTAGTTAGTCATCAAATTGAATAAACAAGTTGGAAACCTAATATCAATTTCGTTTTCTCTATAAACAATTGTTCAGAATATAAATGTCAAAGAGGAATATAAGCTTTAAAGAAAAGAAATTAGTTAGATATTGTTCTTTTTTTTTTTTTTTAATGGGCATGTGTTTGGGACACTGGAAAAAGAAAAGTAAGGGACTAGATTACTATATCCTTGTCCCGTATTTGTTGTGTCACTGTTAAAAACATAAGTTGTCGACAAGTCGTTAGTATTGGATATGGGGAATTGTTTCAAACTTTCCTGAAGTACACACAATTTTGTTGGAAAAAAGTGGAGAAAATTACTGAACTCTGAATTTTGTTGGTAAAAAGTTAGAGAAAATTACTGAATTTACTCTCAAATGCATGAGTTTAAATTTTTATTTCTTATTCTTGGTTAATACTTTTTTTGCTAATATAGTCATTTGATTATAAATGTTATTAATAAAGAGTGAGGGGTAAAAATCTAGATTTATGCACTCTAAGAGCATCTCCAATGCAATGTTATAATTGATGTGCCAATTGTAAATTTAGCATTTGAGTGCAAAAAATACTCTCTAATGCAATGCTATAATTTGTTGTGTCAAATTTCCGATGTGTTAGAGTATCTCCAATGCAATGCTAAAATTAATGTACAAATTACAAATTTAACATTGGAGTGCCAAAATACTTTCCAATATAATGTTATTTGTTGTGTCAAATTTTTTATATGCTATACTTTGTGACAAATTTCCCACCAAGTATAGCATATGAGAAATTTGGCATTTGATTACTATTGGTTGAAATGTTTACTTTTTCCATGTAATAAATATAACTTTTGCATTTTCTAATTATTTTAAAAATAAAAGTTTACTTTTACAACTTCCAAAACTTAATTATAGGAAAAAATAGATTTAACATTTCAAATAGCATTATGTATTTGAGTAAAAATGAAAATAACATATCATATCATAGTTTTTTTTGCTTGAAAATACCATATCATAGTTTTTTATGCTAAATATACGATTGACATTAGCATTTACATTGGAGATGGTCTTATACTTTGTGACAAATTTCCCACCAAGTATAGCATATGAGAAATTTAGCATTTGATTGCTATTGGTTGAAATGTTTATTTTTCATGTAATCAATGCAACTTTTACATTTTTTAATTATTTTAAACATAAAAGTTTACTTTTATAACTTTCAAAGCTTAATAACTTTGGGAAAAAGTAGATTTAGTATTTTAAATAGCATTATACATTGTTACAAAAATAAAAATAAAAACATAGCATACCCACTTTTTTATGGTAAATATACAATTGGCATTAAGATTTGCATTAAAAATTATTTAAGAGGTATTTGTCTCCTTTTCTCATACTTTTATCGAGTCAAAGTTTCTTTTTCTTTTATTTATTTATTTTTTACGTCAGATAAGTCAAAGTAAAGTTAATAAATTACTAAGATGATATGTGAGTAATTATATTTACACCCACTAAATTTATTAATGTAGCTACTAAATTTATTAATGTGCCCACTTAATAATAATTTACATTTATTATAATTTTATCTTGTGCAAAAATTACATTAAAATCCACTAAGATACTCCATATTAATCATAAATATAAATATTACTAATATTATTCTTTCCAAAAAAAAATGAAAATGCATATACCTACGTCTTTAATTAACGCTATTTTGATTTCATGAACCCAAAATTTTTCTCCCTCAAACCCTTTCACAATTTTAATGGAGGTTTCAATTATATATATTACAGAAGTGAATGTTTGTTACCAAATTTGTTCAATGAAAATAGCATGAATGATAGTTTGTCATGTAATGCAATTTCTATGCCGCCACTTTGATTCATTGTTCTTGTTTGTAAATTTAGTTTTTTCTTGTGTTAAATTGATGTAATTTTTGTTGAATTTTTTTTTTAATTCATTTGATGTATTTTGAGAATTTGAGAACATATTATTTTATTTTATAAATCAAATTAAGATTAAATTAATGAGAATAATATATCAAAGGGTTAAATTAGGTATTATGAAAATAATATTTATAAATAGATAGATTTTTTAAATTTTTATTAACGAATATTAATTATTAGGGGTAAATTTTATGGGTGCAAAAACAACAACAACAATGTCTAATAGGATGAAGCAGGCCAACAACAACTAATGGGATGAAGCAGGCCTAACAGATTTGAAATTTCATGGGCCCATAAATGAAGTCCAATTTATCCTAAAAAAATATAGTGATTATATTTACACTCTTAGACATACATTAGAACCATTTTCAATTTACATATATTTTTTATGTAAAAAAATACTGTAAAAAATGATGAATCATAATTTGAATCGGGATACGAATCTCCCAACCAAACAATTCTTAAGTTTATATATTATATCAAATAATTAATACTCATTTAATAAAAATTTAAATATATTCTTTTAAAGATGTTATTTTCATGATACCTAATTTAGCCCTCCCAAACTCTCACTCTAATTTTAATTTTAATTCCATTTATAAAAAGAAAATACTAGTCTTCTAAAAAAGGTTTAATTCAAATTTTATAAATAGGTGACGTCGAAGAGATTGGCAACTCCACAGTCCACACTATAACATTGTCATTTTCATTTTTTATTTATCTATTTCTTCTTACAAACACTTTTTTTTTTTCTTTTGTTCACCATTCAACTCTCCTTGCCCTCATATGATACTTCCAACCTCATTCTTTAATGTCTCCTCCAAATTCAAAGTTCTTTACAATTTTTTTTGCTCAACCTAGTCAATCTTGGTAATTAACTATCTCCCGAATGGCACAACCAGCAATTGTATTCTTTAGCAAATTAATGGAAATTAATAGAAGGAAATAAAAGGAATACAAAAGTATTGTCTTGGGTTTCTTGGATATCTCTAACTCAACTTCTATTTTTTCCCTTATTTTTTTCCATAAAAGTTTTTCATGAATATAAGGAAGTAGGTATACACAGTCGCGTTACTATTCTTCTTCCCCTTTCACATTAATTATTCTTGAAACAATTTTCATGAAAGAGAAGATAGGAGGGGGAAAAGAAAAATATCGAATCAGTATGGAAATATACATCAAATTGGCAACAAGAAAAACTTCTTTAAAATCAAATAAACTCGAATCAGCAAAGTGAACGGGACTACAGTTTACGGTTCATATAAAAAATAAATAAGAAAATTAAAGAGAATGTTTGGACTTTTTAGTAATTTTGCATCCGTAAGTAGAGCACCCTCTTACCCATGTGCCATCACCTAATCGCTTCGAGATGCAAATCACGAATTTTATTCGTGATGTGTAGAGCCTCTCTTTATAAAATGTAGTTTAATCTCTTTTAAATATTAATATTGTATTTTATTTTTAAAATTATTTTAAATTTTTTTGAGCAATTAAAATTATTTTAATTTATCAATCATTTTTGTTTTTTTTTTCTCATTCAAAGATTTTTTAAAGTGTGTTTTGTTGAGTAATTTACTACCAAATACTCTTGAGAGGAGTCACGTGACCAGTAGTGGGTTATTCCATCCAAAAACGTAACCCTAACATTAATTAAATTATTAATGTAATAAATTTTAAAATTTTAAATAGTCGATTGTAAAAGGTTTTAATTTAATAATTAATTTGTCAAACATGTAAAGTTTGAGTCCGTTTAATTTGTTTATTTGAGTTTCTAATTCGAGTTAAGATGTGACTTTATGTGAAAAATTTTTTACTGTAATAAAAAAAATTAAATGTGATTTTTTTTTAAAATTTTTTACTATAATACAACTCAAATCAACAAAATAAAGACTTAATAAATTCGCGTAAAAAAGTCGGAAAAAAAAAACAGTACCATGTGGTTTAGTTGCTTGAATGAAAAAAAAAAAGAAAAAGAAAAAGAAAAAGTGTGGTTAAGTACACTTTAAGTAACAAAAAAAAAAAAAAAAAAAAAAAAAAAAAAAAAAAAAAAAAAATTTTTTTAAAAAAAAAAAAAAACTAAAGAGATCTTTTGACACAAAAATAATTGCCGGCTGTGCTAAAGCGTCAATCGAACGCAAAATCACAAATTTGTAGTAGGGACTGTCAATTGACCTTTGAATTTGAAACAGAAAAGAGTTTCTCTTTATATACACTTCTCAGCTGCCAGTTAGTTTCCTTGTCATGCAGATTCAGTGCACCTGGACATGCTCTGAACTGCGCCTCAGGCCTTCGACTTTCCTTAGGTTTTCGAAGCATTTGAGGAAAAACATCGGCTGCGTTGGGAAAAGAGGACGACCCAATTCATTTATCGCCGCCATGTCGTCGGTTACCACCACCACTGATAATGAGGTCGCTTCTAATCAAAATGGGCCAACCCATGACGCCAATCCTCCTTTACAGGTATATGCCCTTTTGGAATTTTCTCTGATTTCTGCTCGATTTCGAGGTTTATTGTGATGGGTTTGGTCTTGAATCAAATGGGTTTTGTTTATTTCTTTTTCTTTCATTTTATTTTTCCCTTTCATGCATAAATTGCATAACTTTACCTTTTTTGCTCTTCATTGTGGTGCCATTTGAGCTGGATTTTGGATTTTTGAAATTTTGGATTTATAGCATCTCTTGTGTGAAGGCTGGCTTTTTTTTTTTTTTTTAATTTTTACTAGTGCTGTAATCATTCACCTATGCCTGATTGATTGCTATGATTATGCTCTGATGCGATGCGGACTTTCTTAAGTTTTTGCCTTTAAATTTAGAAATATCAGACATAGACTTGGATCTAATGCAACTTGTTGGTTTGAAACATAAGTTTTGGTTCTAATTCCTCATATAGATTGAGGTAGCAGCGTTTTACAGGTATAATTATGACGAGATGTTTATGTAAAATTGCTTGATTTTCTTTTTTTGTTGGAAAAGAGTGATAGAGTTGAGTTTGTCTATTTTATTATCAATTTTTTTATTCCGTGTGATAAGAGTTTATCTAGATTCTAGACACCAAGCATTTGTTGGTTAATTATGGGGTGCCTTTGACAAATGCCTCTCAAGCATATCCCCTAAAAAACTTCATATTTTTCGTAGTTTTGTTGTTTTATAATGCTTGATAGCCCCTGCCAAATGAACCCAATTCTTTCATCTATATCTTGTTCCTATATATGCTTGGATGTTTTAGTAAGTTTTAAGAAAGTGAGTATGCAAGACAAATTTCGATTTCCCCAAAAACCATCTGAAACCTAATAGTACCCACTTCTGCTGTTACACGTAAACTGTTCTGTTCAATTTATGTTCTATTGTTATTGGTGTCACTCTAGGCAATTTTAGTTGCTTATTGTCTCCAAACCTTGTTATAAAATTAGATCTTTTATTCTTTTTAGCAAAATGGGGATAAAAGATAACTCGGGAATTGGGATCCCTTGAAGCTATAGCTACTGAGAGAGAATCTCTTCATAATGATAATGGGGAAACGCATAGTTTTGGTAGTCTTCAAATATAGCATTGTGTTTATACTTGAGTTCTAGAATGCTTTTCACCGTTTGTTCCTAATGTGAACAACTTTTAGGTTCTCAATGCTTTATTTGTACTTTTTGTATGCCATCTGATCAAGCGGTTAAAGGTTTCTTCTGTCTTTAACTCTACTCATTATTATTTGTTTTTAGGTCCATGCTTTCTATGTTTTAGTTTTTGGTGTAAATAAAGAATTTCTTTTTAAAAACCTTGAGAATATAAGATACAATGCAATGGCAGAACGAAGGTGTAAAGGATCAGTTTCTGGTGTTTTTGAGAGTCTAATTAAACTGTTGTTTTTGCAGTGGACGAACTTCTTTCGGACATATAGCCTTTCCATGTCTATTTCTCTCCTTTTGGAATTATGTTTTTCATGCTTTGTTAAGGATTCAATTTTTCTGTCTAAAGTTGGCCAATTTTGAATTCCTGTTGAAAGCTCTGGCATTTAGTAGCACCTATTAAACGGCTGAATGTCCTTTTCAAAATATTGTTATAATGATAACTGTTTCTAACCTTTATGCCGATGTTACGTATATGCTGAATGTTCATCTCCGATTGATACAGTAGTGCTAAATTTATGCCTAATGTGCCCGTATAACTGACATCTTTGTAGAGATAATGTTTAAACTCCTTTTATCCACGTCAAAATCCTAAACTTGACCCGTGAAATATGTTGATTGTTTCTGTTTCTGTTATTTTATTATTATTATTATTATTATTTTAAATGCATTGGTCTGGTGCCTGCTTGAAGTATACATCTCAAGATCAGCCATGCCTTTACATGCTATACTCCTATATTGGTTTCTAGTGGTTGGTGTTTGTTTTCAGATTGCCAAGCGCTTGGAGAAGTTCAAAACAACAATCTTCACACAAATGAGTAATCTCGCCATTAAACACGGAGCTATAAACCTTGGCCAAGGCTTCCCCAACTTTGATGGTCCTGAGTTTGTAAAAGAAGCAGCAATTCAAGCCATTAAAAATGGGAAGAACCAGTATGCTCGTGGATATGGAGTTCCAGACTTCAACTCCGCCATTGCTGAGCGATTCAAGAAAGACACGGGCCTTGTGGCGGACCCTGAGAAAGAAATTACAGTTACCTCTGGGTGCACAGAAGCTATAGCTGCTACTATTTTGGGCTTGATAAATCCTGGTGATGAGGTTATTCTATTTGCTCCTTTCTATGATTCTTATGAGGCTACTTTATCCATGGCTGGTGCCAAAATAACGGGCATCACGTTGCGCCCTCCGGATTTCTCTGTCCCCATTGAGGAACTCAAGTCCAAAATCTCAAAGAATACTCGCGCAATCATGATAAACACTCCTCATAACCCAACCGGGAAGATGTTCACTCGGGAGGAGCTCAGCACAATTGCATCTTTATGCATCGAGAATGATGTGTTGGTTTTTTCCGATGAAGTTTACGATAAGTTGGCTTTTGAACAGGACCACATTTCCATGGCCTCTCTTCCAGGAATGTGGGAGCGAACGGTAACCATGAATTCCTTGGGAAAGACATTTTCCTTGACGGGGTGGAAGATTGGGTGGGCGATAGCTCCCCCACATCTGACATGGGGAGTGAGGCAGGCGCATGCTTTTCTCACATTTGCCACGTCCACCCCCATGCAGTGGGCTGCTGCTACGGCTCTTAGAGCCCCAGATTCTTACTATGAGGAGCTAAAGAGGGATTACATGGCAAAGAAGGCAATTTTGGTTGAAGGGTTGAAAGCTGTTGGTTTCAAGGTATTTCCATCCAGTGGCACATACTTCGTGGTTGTAGATCACACCCCTTTTGGAAGGGCCAACAATGACATCGAGTTTTGCGAGTATTTGATCAAAGAAGTTGGGGTTGTAGCAATCCCAACTAGTGTATTTTACCTGAACCCAGAAGAGGGGAAGAATTTAGTCAGATTTACCTTCTGCAAAGATGAGGGAACTCTTAGGGCTGCAGTAGAGAGGATGAAGCAGAAACTGTTGGGAAAATAAGGAGATTCCTTTTTGCTCTTTTTTTTTTCAGAATAAGTTGAGATTGAACTCAATTATATTAACATTGCTGTCAAAGCAGAGCATTTAGAGTGAATTAGACTTTATTCCAGGAAATTCATGGACAAAATAATCTGGATTAGTGAGTGATCTTTTTATGATTATTCCAGAGTTGTCTTTGTATTAGATATTATGAATACTTTGTATCCATCATTGGCTTAGGCCAACACCTACCATCTAACAGAACAGAACTAGGAATACTACTAATATCCATTGGAAGCCGCAAGATTGCTGAAGTACCAAGTTTATGTTGTATTTTGATAGACTGCCGTTAGATTACCACTAATAACCAGGTGTTGATGGCAGTTTGTCTTGTGAACGATTGTAGCTTAATGTGATATCAATGGTAACCTTCCATATTACCTGTTGTATCTTACCATTACTACGTTAATGATGACAATTGACATAATAGTAGACATTTTTAGATTCAAAACTCTTATAGTAGACATTTTATGTAATTACGTCTAATTGAAAACCTATTGTCATGATAGAGAACTCGGGCTGTTTAGGGCCGGCCATGACATTGCTTCAACTTGCAAGGAGGAGATGTTTAATAGCATTCGAGTACACGATTTCTTAACCCTTATCAGAAACACTACTATCTTGAAGTTTATATCAGATAAGCATAATAAACAATATTATATTAGTTGGTAATTTTAATACAAAAACTAATTACATTAGTCACTGTTTACGGAAAAATTCCCTTTGAGAGAATAAAACATCAATTATTGGATTTGATAAGTAAGATTAGGACAAATTAAGCTTGTGCCTTCTGAACTATTAACGTGTTACAAAAATGTCCCTACATTTTAAAAATATCAAACTCTCTTGAAGTAATCATTGTTAGCACGCTTCCCATTTATTTCTCGTATCGGTTAAATATTAAACGGTAAGTATAAGGTGACAGTCGTTAAAGCATTTAATTTTTAATATAATATGAAATGACTATTTTGTTCATACAATAATCCCCTTCTCTACATTTCGTGGCCATTTATATTTTTTTGCCCTAATTCCCATTTGTCATCATTCATGTCATAACTCCCTGATTTTGGCCGAATTTGACAGGAGTCACAGCTCTCGGCCAATCCACCTTGCCTGAGTTCATGAATGGTAGGGTTGTTCATAAACCCGAACAACCCGCAAACCCAACCCACCACGTCCCAACCTAAGCCGAAAAAAGTAACCCGCAGCATTATTTTTAAATTTGCGGCTCATTATACCTCTGGTCCGAAGTGTTTGGGGCGGATTGCGGGTTGGGCCCATAAAAACCCGCAATCCCCAACCCAACCCGCATAACATATCCCCAAGCTTTCGGCCCAAGCCAAACTGCCTAAGTTCTACCCTAGGCTCGCTAACATTAGGGTTCACAATCTCATTCTCGGTCTCCCCTCCCGTGAACCCTCTCTTTTTGCCTCTTCCTTTTCAGTTTTCTTTCTTCTTCCCCTCCCGAAGATTGTTGGGTTGTGAAATTTTCTAACATCGTTGGGATTAAATATGTGCAACCCACACCCTTCAGAGCGGAGAAAAAAAAATCCTACCCCGCACCAACCCAACTCATGAACAGCCCTAATCAATGGCGGCCAGCAGTAGTTTGCTACAACACCTGATTTAAATAAACCAAAAGAAAACATCCCAAAAAAAAAAATCCTTTTCTGCCTTCGCCGGTACTCGCGACACCATAGCCGCACAAGCGCCACTACCTGCGCCATCCCCGACCACCATGCGCTCCCTTCCCAGATGCCACCGACCCATCCAACAATATCAGGAGCAGTCAGAATGAGAATTGAAAAAAAAAAAAAAAAAAATTATGAGTATTTTTCAACTTTGATCTGTACAGAGAAACCCAATAGAAAATTTCAATGTTTGTCAGATGGGTGTTTTGATTTTCATCAAGACTTGTGAGGGTGGGCGGCCATTGAGAAAGGGGATGGGGAGATCGTATGCCGGAGGCTCGATCCGTCGGAAGGTGGTTGCCTTCACGCCGTCGTGGGGAGAAGAGATGGGGCCACGGTGGCTGGGCGTGACGGGGGCAGGCCGTTGATTGGGGTTGGTCGGAGGGGAAGGGACTTATTAATATTATTCTTCTTCGAATTTATTTTATTTTATTTTATTCAGCAAAAATAGTTGTGCTTAGGCTATTATTTTTTTTCCTTAATTGTTTCTTTTTTTTCACCCAAATTACTTATTTGTCCTGTGATTGAGTCTCAGAAATATGACACTTACTGTTTAATATTTAACAGAGGGGGTAAATAAGGGAGAAACGTGACTTTATTGAAAAATTTGATTTTTTTAAAATTTAGAGAGCATTTTTATAACACGTCAATAATTTAAGGGGGCAAAAACGTAATTTATCCGTGAGATTATTACGTTTACCATGTTCTTTGTAATATGATTTATTGTTGTATAATTAATTTGACAACAAGTCACTAGCTAATTGTAACTATTATTAACCTTAAAGAAGTGTCATACTTAGCTATAATCAAACAAAGTAGTAGTTCACCCAATGCTATTGGCCTATAGTTAAGAAAGTGAACAAAATGCAAGATCCCAGTGGAACGGAGAATCTTGGCCTTTCTGGTGAAATCTTCCTAGTTTCTCTGTAGGGGTTTCGATATATATATATATATATATATATGATTGGATAAGAAAACCTACTAAAGAAAAACCACCTTGAACAAAAAAACAAAGATGTACATCCAAAGATATTAGTCAGGGGAAAGTAGTATGGAACTTGCTTTTGTTGCCAAGATTCCAAAATTACCCAAATGATTTTCTAATTCTAACATATTGGCATGGACCTTCACGTACAATCTTACTAAAGTCTCAAGTCTGCAACATCTTTTGAATTTCATTGATCGAATCTTTGAAGATCATGAAGTACCTTTTTTTTCCCATTTCTTGAGATAAGATCGTGAAGAACTTTGAGTTTGTTCATTTACATTTTTTGAGTTAGGATGACTTAAGTTCAAATTTTGATTTGAATTAAGGTGTATTTGAGTATAGTTTGAGTTATGACTCTAATTTGAGTTTGTATTTGAATGTACATATTTTGAGTTATGGTTTATATTGAGAATCTATTTGAGTTTGTGTTTGGGTAGGTCAAAACTTGAATTTGTATTTAGATAGTATTTTAATAAAAAACTCAATGATGATGAAAAATTTTAATAGGATGTATGAGTGAGATTTTATTCGTCTCTTCATTGTGAACGCATAGAAAAAAAAATCATCTCAATCAAAATTAAAATGAAAAATTATAACATTTTTAAGAATAATTACGTAGCATAACCCGATTTAAAGATGTCAATAATTTTATTTTAGTTTAAAGCATATTTCAAGTAGAGATTTTGATGCTCGGGTCATCTAAAGTGTCTATGACTTATTTTTCTCATATTGGAACTTGAATAAGTTTCTCATGGCTGTTTGCTGAAACTTGAAAAACAACGATTTTTTTTCAAGAAAAAATCTCGAGTACAATCAATTTTTTTTTCTCATAAGAGGTTTTTTTTTTTTTTTTTTTTTTTAAGCTAAGAGAATAATTATTTATATGAGCTAATCTCCTTGCCAGAAGTAAGATAAGGAGGCAAAAATCGATATCATTTATCAACTTTAGAACAACAACAAAGATGTATATCCAAAGTAGGCGATATTTAAAGCAATTTGTGTACAAAAAACATTGCGGCTTTCCAAGAGCCCAAAACAAGACGTAATTTGTTGATTAGAAGATGTGAGATATCCACTTGTGGGCGTTATGCACTACATCATAGAGAAGGCATTTTGACAATACGTGACAATTGAAAATTTATTATTTGTTTAATGGGAGAAGATATACCACTCGCACTTCTTGTTAGCCAACGTCATTTGCTTGCAATTAGTGAATTACTTTATTATACAAACTTGTGTCTATTTATTCCATATTCGTCTATATGTGTTGTGCCTTCTGTGTTTTGACGAACCAATTCTATCTTTTTCAAACATAACTACACACACACACATATATACACACATATAAATTATAAAGTTACTTTACCGTCATTGTAGCTTTCACCTTTAAGTTTGGTATTGGTATTTGGCCATTTGGTGGTTCATATTACCTAAAAAAAAATTTCACCTTATAAAGGATAAATGTTTTTGAGCTCTTCACATTTGAGCCTCTAATTTTAAATATTTACTTTTAGGTCTCTACAGACTATACTTCTAAAAAAGTTACTCCGAAAATTCTTTTGTTAACTCTTCGGCTAACTCCTTTTTTCGAATAAAAAAATGTCAAACTCCTCAAGTTTCTTGGAATTTAGGTCCAATTTTGTTTTTGTATTTTGTATTTTGTTACATCGACATTTGGTGTCGAGAGAGATTAAGCAAAATATGGTTCATATAGAGGTAAGAGAAAAAGGTATTAGAAAAGAGAAAAGCAGAAGGAGAAATAGTAAACTTTACGGAAAATTAATTTCTAAATTAGAGAATTGAGTGCTTGTACATTTTTGCTTTTCTGTTTTTATAGCTTCATAATTTTATTAAATCAACAACGAAAATAAATGAAAATCAACAAAGAACCCCCAACAAACCAACAATAACATAAGGCCAAAACAAAACAAAATTAAAGAGAGTAAAGTTAAAAACGTGAATTTAGAATCGAAAGAGAATGAAGAGACCTACTAGTATAGAGGGTAGCGTGAGCGCCTATCTACTAATCTTTGAGCTACAACATTTTCAAAACTCGAGCCCGTTTGGTAAAAGGATTCGTTCCTTGATTCGAATCATGATTCGTGATTCGTTATAGTATTTTCTCTCACAAAAAAAACACGTAAATAAAAAATTATTCTAATCACATAGTTCTAATCCATGAACTAAACGGGCTCTTAATGCAAGAGAACCTTGAGCCAAATCCATTAGCTCTAACATCAACAATGTCTATCTCTTAATCGACTTCATTCAACGAGGAAAAGAAATCTACAATAGTCTTAGTAGCAGCCTCAATAACCACACTCCGCCACTATATATATATATATATATATATATATAACTAATTTTCTCTTCTTTGGTCCTTTCTCTGAAGGGAAAAAAAAAAAAAAAAAAACTAGAAAAAAACATTGTAAACTGAAAACCCAAATTTAACAACTTTCTCAGCGTCAACTGTTCAAAGACATTCACATTTCTCCCTTCTTTGCTTTAATTTTCGTCGGTAATATTGAAGTTAAAGTTACCTCTACAAGGTTGACCCTTGTCTTATTTTGATTTCACATACTAGGATTTACTGCTTTCTAACAGTAAACATAAAACATGTTATTCCCCAGAAATAAAAAGAGTCAAGGGTACTAGGTTTGGACCACTTATAGCCATAAATGGCAATTTGTGTGGTTGTTCGCCGATGACCAAAGAGTTCAGAGATTAAAGGGTCAGAGTTGTTGGAATTACTCTTAATTGTATTTTTTTTTCTCTTTCTATGGTCCACCTCACAATTTAAACTCTGAGATTTTAATTTTAACAAATATGTCGCAATTATATACACACATATAGTAAGAAAGATTATAGTTTAACAATACTCAAAGTTCAATTAATGAATAGAATATTGAGTAATGTTTTTTTTTTTTTTTTTTTTTTTTTTTTTTTTTTTTTTTTTTTTTAAAATACACCATAAACTTTTTATTGGTTGGCAACTTGTACTATGAGCTTTTTTAAATTTTAACACTCAGGACCCTAGAATTCGTTTATTAGTTGACAAATCAGTTCTTGAAAACTGATAATTTAGAGTGCGTTTGAAACTCGTTCAAAAATGATTTTATTTTTTGTATGAAAATGAAAATGAAAACGTTTTCAATCTCAAACAAAAATTATTTTTGAAAATACGCTTGGTAGTTTTATCAAGAAATTATTTTCAGTGTAAAAAAATTCACTAATGTCTATCTTTCTCTCTCTGCTCGAGAGAGGAGAAAACGAAAACAGAAAATGAAAAATGACTAAAAATCGTTTTTCATTTCTCTATCATTTTACACTAAAAAAAAATCATTTTCGTTTCTTTTTTTTGTCTTTATTGCGCCAAACGCCGTATTAAAAATATTTTTATTTTTTTTTCTTAAAAAACGTAAAAAATAAAAACGGGATCAATTCTAAACATATCCTTAGTTTTTTAATGCAATAATTAGTAGAAATGGCTTTCTCAATTGGGTTGTAGAGACTGATGCAATAAAATCTGCGATTATGACTCAAATGTAATCGGTGATATCTCATCAAATTTCTCTGCTTCTTATGATTCTGTTCGTTACATTTCTCGTTTTGAGAATTTGTAGCCTATATGTTAGCTGCTTTTACTTTTTCTGGCTCTTCAAATGTTTGTTGGTCCGAGATTCATAAGCTGCTTTGTAATGGCTGATTTAGCAGTTCTTGAATAAAAAGTACGTCTTTCACTCAAAAAAAAAAAAAAAAAAAGGAAGGAAATTTGACCAAATTGATAATCTCAATTCTTCTCTCTTTTTCTCACGGGAAGATATGCTATTCAAGCGGTCACGTGAGATGCAAAATGTTCCTCCTTTATTACCAGCTGTTCGAGTTGCATTTGTCAAAGATTTTCAATTGGGAAGATTTTTACATGAACAAAAAGTTGTTTTTTAGGGACCCACTTTGTCAAAACAAGCATTAATATGTGCCACGGCCCAAGCTTCACCCGCACAATACGCATGATCTCCTCTTCCACTTGAGCAAGAGTTTCTACTCGTCTTCCAGAATTGAGCATGCCATTCACAAACCCGCGAACAGCGACCAAATCAAACAAGTAATGTTGTGCATTAACTCCATGGACGACAGCTCATAGGTGAGAAAAGTGATCCCGCGAAATACTCTTCCGCTGATAGTTGGCTTGTTTATTGAGGCTAAAGAGGAAAAGTAATCCCGCGTTGACTTACAGGTCAACCCCGACATTATTATCGGTTGGGCTACGATGACTGTAAAATGTCCCCTTAAAACACTGAAAAATGTTCGCGGCACCGTCGCATTACTACTAATGGTAGATAAGTCGCATATGTAAAAATGACAATCTTATCCATAAACACCGTATCCATAGTGTTGACGGTGATTTCTTGTTAATAAAAACATGCCGGGTTACCTCCGGATTTCCTGTTTGATTACCGACCTGACCTTAGTGATAAAAGTGTGTGAGAATTTGATGGTGGGATGTATTGTGTTTTAATAAAGGGACACGCACAAGGTAATAACACGAGGGATTTTATAGTGGTTCACTCTATAAAATCAGAGTTACATCCACTGTTGTTGTATATTTCTTTTGAGAGGATTACAATTTACATCAATTGTGCTATGTTCTCTCGGATCTCAACCCCTTCCCTGTATGGGGTCTCACCCTTTTTATATTGGGAGCTTCCTTCGCTAGGTTGATTTCCCTCGTAGGTAGAAACACTCAAGTGCTCTCTCTTTTTAGGTCCAGTCGTAGCCCACTAATCACTTAGAGCAATGTTCACTCAGCCACTTAGTCTTCTATTACGGCTATGTGCGCTCCTGTAACCCTATTCTGTCCCCCGTGGGGCAGTTTAAGGGTTCACAATAAATGCCTGCCTTGCAGTCATCCCCACTTTGGTACGCAACTTGTTAGGTCAGATCTTTCCTCAAAGAGCATTCCCCTCGTCGCCAGTGTTGCTTAACCCAACTGTCCTTCTTGGCTGTTGGTTCCACCGTCGGGGGATTTCTATGTCCTAAAGTCGACGGTACGAATTGTCGACGCCATGAGGAATTGATGCCCCAAGTTGGACCTTTCACTTGGGTTCTTTATAACAGAATCAGAGGGAGCCCTAGGCATCAAGGGTTGGGGGAGTAGTTAAGACTACGTGTCATATTATGGTTCTTTCACGTGTCCTTCACATTTTTCCACACAACACATGGCTATCCGCTTTTAATAGAGCGGGTATGAAGAATGTTATAAAAGGGCGAAAGAAGGTATGGGGATACAAATTAGCCTTCGATTTTGACGTCGGATAGGGATGGAAGAAGCTCCACCGTCTCCATCCCACTCTCGTCCTCAACCTGCTTACATATGTTTGAGTTTGGATTTAGTTTTTAGACTTTGGAGAGTTTAGAGTTGACACTGCCCGTTCACTTCGCTGATTCGAATTTGTAATTCGAGTTGAGATGTGATTTGTGTAAGAACTTTTTACAGTAGCAAAAAAGTTAGATGTGACTGTTTCTGAGAGCATTTTACTGTAACAAAACTCGAATCGGCGAAATAAGCATTCAATTTATTTTTATGACATAATAATAGTTATGTCGTTTAATTTTCTAATTAATTTAGTTAAATTTTCTTTGAGGTTTGATAATGTTATAAATGTTTTTTAAACTCTTAATAAGTAAATGAGTAGGGTATTGGAATAGCTCCTCTAGTGGAGATTCTCTGATCTCTATCTTGTCTTAAATTAGACGGTTATGGATGTGAGTACAAAGAACAAAACAAGAATAAAATATGAGGTGAGGAAAGCATATCCGGCTCATATTAGGGCACTCACCTTCTATTAATAAGGATCGTTCAATAATGTCTTATAACATTGTTAATTTTATTTTTTTTAAATATCTATACATTTTTATTAACTTAAGCATAAGAATGACACCAATCAATCCCTATACAAGTTCATACGAATTCTTAATCAAGAGCTTGTTTGATCCAAATGTTTAAGGTCAATGATGCATCTTTTGTGTTGAACAAAAAATTGCACCCACAAACTTGCAAACACACTAATTTAAGAGGTAACAGTGCAAAAGACCTTTAAAAATGCCATAATGCTTGGCTTTCCCCATATAATTAGATAAAAGAGAGAAAAGTGAAATTCTAGAACAAAAAAAGTGAAAAAATTAATATGATTAATTACAAAAGTTTCTCTTCGACTAATAACCCTTATAATAATGTGCCATTGATTTTGAACGGAGCTTTACACATAATTGGCACACATTACAAAATTTAGAGGTATCTTGCTCACTATATTATCTTTAAATCTAATTTGAATTCAAAAGGTTTCTTATTTTAAAATTCTAATTGTTAATGATTATCTAATACCAAAAAAATCAAAGACCTAAAAATTTTTAAATGATAATTGCATCTCACTTCTTTATAATTGCATATGAAAGAACTAGCCAAGTAATTGTACACTGGCCCCGTTCACTTCGCTGATTCGAGTTTAGAATTCGAGTTTTTTTACAGTAAAAAGCTCTCACAAACAATCACATCTAACTTTTTTGCTACAGTAAAAAACTCTCACATAAAATCACATCTCAACTCGAATTCTAAACTCGAATCAGCGAAGTGAACGGGGATCGTTCAACGATCTTTTTCTTTTGATATACATGTTCTTTTATGTTAAAAACTGTAATAGAAAGAGTTTTTTTTTAACTTTTCACAGATTGAGAGAAATAGATGTTAAGTTTTAAAGAGATAAATATATGTTAAGTTTTAAAGGCTTTGTTCATTTTATCGATTTGAGTTTTCAGTCTTAAATTTTTACAGTAAAAAGCTCTCAGAAAATATCACATCTAATTTTTTTTGTTATAGTTAAAAACTTTAAAAAAATATCACATTTTAACTCAAATTAAAAATTTAAATTCGTAAGTGAACGAGGCCTGATTGCAGAAAGACTTTTTTATAATCAATTCAAAACAATAATAATAATAAGCAGGAGAAATCAGACAAACGTAGAAACCAGATGAAGTTGGAGATAAAATCAAATTCTTCTCCTAACACAGGACATAATACGGATTTGAAGGGGACACAGAAATTTCCCAAGGGCATTGCATAATTATTAATTTGGTGTTTGCCTTTATTATCTCTGAGAGAAATTCGGTGGGCCCCAAAGCGGGTAAGAACGATCGAGGCCTCTGACGACCGTCGGACGCGACGCCAACGTTTGATGTGACCTCAGAAGCTAGCTTAAGACCGTCTAGGTCTAACTATGATGCCTCTTTCCCCTTTTAATCAAAAGCGCCCCAAATTTTAAAAATTGGAAAAAAAAAAAAAAAAAAAAAAAAAAAAGGAAACTGAATCGTGGCACGTGCCGGGCCTGCACAGTGAGTGTAAAGCGAAAAAGGCACCGAGCCCCAGTTCAGACGGTCGCGTCTTTCTCCTCACGTAAATCCAACGGTTTAAAAGTCTCTGCTCGGTCCAACCGTCTAAATTCCAATCCGACGGCGGAGATTGAATCTCAGTCCCTCTCCCTTATTGCACGATAAATAATCAAAACCAGGTCCAATTCTCTCACACAGATTTTCAGTCTTTTCCCCCCCCTCTCTCTCTCTCTCTGTCCAATTCTCTCTCTGAGTTTCTATTTTTTTCTGTCTCTGAGAGAGCGCTCTTTCAGTTGCAGCTAACGTGCGCCGCTAGGAGGGGACACTGCTTATCCTGTGCCGCCTGAGATGTCGCCGGAGGCGTCCGAAACGACGACGTTGCTGATAAGAATCTCGCGTTATAGGAACACTTATTAAAAAGAAGAGAGAGAAAGGAAGAAGATCGGACGGCGGGGATTCAACGGGATTCGTGTCAATGGACGGCCAGATGAGCCAGGCGAAGCTCACGAGAACGCAATCTTCACTCCTCCGGTCGTCGCCGACCATCCGATCGTCCATACACAGCCTTACCTCCGTTAACGAGGCGGACGTTATCGCCGCCCAAAACGACGACGTCGACGAGGAGGAGGAGAAGAAGCAGCAGAAGAGAAAACCCGTCCGGTCCGGTTCGACCGCTACCCTGAGAGCCCGGACCGGTCCAAACCGGTTCACTCGCAGTTTCTTCCTCACGGCTTCTCTCTCTCTCCTAACCCTTATCTTCTTCATTTTCTTCTACCTCAGAAGAGATGAGATTTCGACCTCCGAGAACCTCCTCTTAGCCCTAATCTTCGTCGCCGTTACGCTCTTCTTGGCGAACAAGAACAAGAGCTTGATCAACCAGAGCATCTCGATCATCAAGCACTCGTTGATCTCGAAGCACAGCAAGAATTCGAAGCCGGTCCAGTGGTTCATCGGCGAGTCGAAGGCGGAGTCGCCGAATTCGAGGCGGATTATTCGAGAAGGAGTGGAGTTCTACGGCAATGGCGATTTCTACGAGGGAGAGTTCCACAAAGGAAGGTGTAATGGCAGCGGAGTTTACAATTTCTTCGTTAATGGAAGATACGAGGGGGATTGGATCGATGGGAGGTACGACGGCTACGGGATTGAGAGCTGGGCGAGAGGAAGTCGGTACAAAGGACAGTACAGGCAGGGGTTGAGGCATGGTTATGGAGTTTACAGGTTTTACACAGGGGATTCCTTCGCCGGAGAGTGGTGTAACGGCCAGAGCCATGGCGTCGGAGTTCAGAGCTGCGCCGATGGGAGCTGCTATGTTGGGGAGTTCAAGTGCGGCGTCAAGCACGGCCTTGGATGCTACCATTTTAGGTCAGTTCTGGATCTTTCTCAATTCCTTTTCTATTTTTAAGGAAATTTCAGTTTTTTTTTAAAGGGAATTTTGCTCTGGAATTCATTTTATGCTTACACTGGATCGTTCTTCGCTTAATTTGATGAATGAATTCTTGTTCTTGAGCTTTACTTGGATTTTTTCTTGAGTTGCTAAAGGATTCTTTACCATCGTTTTTTTGCATGTATTTTTAGTTTCTCTTTTGATTTCATGAATAAAACAGTTGATCTAATTCTGAATTGTTTTTACCTTTTTCTTACTTGGATGAAAGGAAGAATCTTTATAGGTTTGTGCACGTATACAAATACCAACACTTCTTCAGCCCTTTTTTGTTTGTCCTTTTAATTTATAACTTTTATGTTCTGCTTTATTAATGCTGCAAAGATTTCAAATTTTTCAGGAGGTTGAAAGATCTTTCTTTCTCCTTATAGTTTGTGTTGGGTATTAATTTTGATTCCTAAGTAATGTTTATTTTAAAGCAAACTGAGAAACTTCTGTACTTTTATTCTTTAGTTGAATTATGCTTGGATAGTTTCACTAGAGTGCTTCATAGATTTAATTTCAGCTCAAATCTTACTGCTCTTTTCTATTTGAATAGCTCAATGTTATTGGCCCTTTTCCTTGTGGTATTAAAAGCTTGGTACCAAGAGAAGTTAATGCATCTGCCTAATTTGTACATATTCTTAGGAAGGAATCCGATGGCAGTAAATAAATCCCTTTTTCTTTTGTTTCCTTTTTTCATGTAGAAATGGAGATAGGTACGCAGGGGAATATTTTGGTGACAAAATCCACGGATTTGGAGTGTATCACTTTGCCAATGGCCATTGCTATGAAGGGTCATGGCATGAAGGCCGAAAGCAAGGCTATGGCATGTACACTTTCAGAAGCGGCGACACCAGATGCGGTGAATGGGATGGTGGCTCTCTGAAGCACTCTTTACCTCCACTAACTGATGCAGTTCTTAGAGCGGTTCAGGTAGTTTGCTTGCGCATTTTTTAACCTTCAGATTTTAAAAAATGCGTACTATTTGTATGATTATGCACTATCATAAAAGTACCACTTCTGTTTTAGTAAGTTTATTGTGTTATTTTGGATCATTATGCGAGGTACTGAATTCTTTTTGTATGGCTTAAATGAAATCTCAGGCTGCTAGGAGAACAGCAGAGAATGCAATTAACCTTCACCGGGTAGATGAACAAGTGAACAAGGCAGTCATGGCCGCAAATAGAGCCGCCACCGCTGCTAGAGTCGCAGCTGTGAAAGCTGTCCAAAACCGGATGGACGGGAAATTTTGTGATACAAATGTCCAAGGAGAAGACTAGCTTTGTTTCCAATTGTAAATTTTCCTTTCTTTTTCTTTTTTCTTTTTCCAACTAATTTTTAAGTACTTTGGGAAATGTCACCCCAGTCAGCAAAAGCTAATCGGAGGTTGAGCAATGAGAGAGGGAATGAGTTTGTTTGAAGTTTCCATGATGATCACCAAACTGTAACTTGTACATACACTCATGTAAATCAATGGAATATGGAATTTCCAAGGCAATTTCTTTTTTATTTTATTATTATTATTATTATTATTATTATTATTTTGTATATCTTATTCCTGTTTCTTTTACCATTCCACTTGAAAACTGGGGACGCCCTTGTGGGGTTCCTCATGAATTCCCATTATTGTGTTCTGGATTGCAATAATGAGATTAAAGTTTTTGTTCCCAGCTTGTCTCTCATCCATCGTCATCATCATTGTCATCAGCAACAAAGGAACTCTCTGAAAGCCTTATCTTGAGTTACTAGCTCATTGAATTTATGAATATTTGTACTAAATAAAATAACCTTATCTTGAAAAGCACATGACATGCTATGCTATGGAAAATGCGAAATTAGAAACAACCTTTCTTTCAGGCTCATTAGAAGAAATCAACTTTAATTAAGATCCAGATTTTTTTCTCTTTCAAAATCAGTATGAAAAGACCAAGGATTTATTAAATTTATGCGTTTAAATCATGGTTTTTGATTTTGATGATTAAAATTTAAATTTTTTCAGAGATTAACAGATTCATGTTTTTTTTTGTAATCATTATTTTTTATAAATTAGAGCAGCAGGACTTAAATTTTAAGCGTTAACATTAGAAGGGTGTAAATTTAACGTTAAATTATGCCTCAATAATAAATTAATTTGGGTGTGAATTTAGCGTTAAACTTTGCCTATAAAGACAAATTTGTATATTGTAGTACACAAAGACCAAATTGTGGTATCTATGCGGACAAATAGTTGGCGATTGCTCAACCTTTTTCCATACATAAGGTAGACATGGGTAAGGTGAGAAGATGTGAAAGATCTGAAGACCATAACATTAATCAACAAACCACCTCCCCACAAATGGCCAAAAGCAGCCAATATTAATCAAACAATTAGATCAAATCGCCTCTGTGAACATATATTCATGCAGACGACATTTTTATGCAATTCCTCAAGTGGTATGTGACAAAATAAGTTATTTAAATTGGACCCCCTTTCTAATATAGTTTGGAAGTTGATGATATTCCAATTAATTTATACTGGGGAACCATGTGCCTTACCTTCCTTCTTCATCTAGGATAATGGTCAGGATTCTTATATATACATATTTATATATATATATATTATGTATAAATATAAATAATATATAATGGGCACATGATGTGGGGGTGGTGGGTGGGGTTCTAGTTGAGGCAAAAAAATTTCAACTTTTCATGCACCATGCTGCTGGATCTACAATCCTATTCCATGGAACTTCATAAAAGGCCAATAATAAAGAAAAATTTCTTCTTCTTTTTTTTTTTTCCTTAAACTTTTCAGCTTAATTTGATCATAAGATTATTACCGAGATTCAAATCTTCTATCCAACCAAGGTTAAGCATTTCCAACCACTCCCAGTCCCACATGCATTTTCTCAAAAGCAAAGTCCAAGATTGAAAAAGATACTGTTTGTATAAAAGGAGCAAAAGGGGAAAAAAAAAAAAAAGAAAGAAAAGGACATGGACTCTTGTACTGAGGTTTACTCTTTTAGATGGGTATTTTAAAATAGGGAGAAAGAGAGAAATATGTTAAGATTTGAGATGAATTAAAATTAATAGGTTAATAGTTTACATAAGTTAATAAATAGGCTAAATTACTGTTTTCGTCTATTACTTGTCTGGTTATGAACCGTAACTTGACAAATTATTGTCCATAATTGTCTATAACTTGTCTGACTATGAACCATAACTTGACAAGTTTATCCATAACTTATCTGGTTATGAATCATAACTCGACAAGTTATGGTCTATTAATTTTTATAACTAAAAATTAACCTATATACTTTTTTAAGCTTTTCATATTGACCTATTTTCTACTATTTTCCTTTAAAATAATACCTGGTTTCCTCACCTTTGACTAAAATCTCCCAGATCCTCTTGGTGGTGGTTTGGTTAAAAAATCCAGGTATCAGATGGGATCTTTTTCATCACTGATGATGGTCTGACCTGGCCTTGTTCCCATCATACTACTCTTGTATCGTTAATGCATTGCATTAAATATATTATATACTTACATATATATATATATATATATTTGATGGGAATTTATATATATATATATATATATATATAGTTTGAGTCTGAATTCTACCTGCATTGTAATATTTAAAAAGTTGGCGTACTTTAAAAATGTGTAACATTGATTTACGATGGATAAACTTTGTTATCATACATTTGGACTTTTTCTAATAAGCTCTCTTATCGGTAAGGTCAATTTCTGACCGTTGAATATGATTATAGTCATATCAGATTGAAAAATATGTAGAACGGACGTTTTCAATATAGAATTTACAGTTAAAAAAATAAAAAATTACCGATAATTCATTTTTATTAAGAGAAGCTCTCTGTACATTTACAAAATAATTATTACAAGGTATATATTACATCCTTTGTTTTTGCAAGCCTTAGAGAGAGGGGGAGATATTGAACAAGAATATAACCATATAAGATGTCCTTTAATTTTTCCCCTTCTTTTAACATGTGTTATGTTTTTTTTTTTTTTTTTTTTGGGTAATGTCTTGAAGCATGTCCTTGCGTAACACTAATGCATGGACATCCAAATTTGGCCATCATTATTGGCTGAAGATTTTAGACGGTTTACAATTTTTGGTCGCCTTGAAAGGGCTCAATTTCTGAGCAGTGGGGGAGGCGAGAGAAGTTTTAAAATATATTTCTTTAGTAGGTCTATGTTTCCTTTCCCACATCTGAACTTGTGATCCAGTCAAATTTTTTCTGAATCCCCATAAAAATGTTTGCTAAAAACTAAGCTACCAGGCGTGGGTTTCAAAATGGCTACTTATAATAAAAAACAAATGATAAGATCATAAGAGATTGGGTAAGATATTAGTTTGGAAATTAATTCTTTATTTGAGTACTCTACCTTAGAAGGAAATTCCAAGAAAAATGAAATTATATTTGGATGCTGGTCATTGTTGCATGAGTACTTTAAATAGCTTCTTCTTTTTTTTTTTTTTTTGCCAAGTCATTTTACAAGTTATCTAAATTTATATGCTAGTCCACCTTTGCTTCAATATTGTTGTATTTTTAGACTTAATTTACTTGTTTTTCCTAGCTATAGGACAGCGTCAACCGTGAAATTACAAAAAGTAAAAAAAAAAAAAAAGGATCACTTCCAATAATATATATATATATATATATATATATTTAAAAAAAAAAAACTCCTATAGCTTGCTAGATATACATCAAGAGAGAAAAAAGCAAGGAGAATAAACAAATTAAGCAAAACGGACAATTACTAGAAAACATATATATATACGAGCTAGATCTATACATTATTAAACACCCTTCTTTCCCAATTGCTGCAATCTCTCTCTCTCTCTCTCTCTCTCTCTCTCTCCAAGTATGGTGATATAGGCTAATTTGTTGGCACCTAATTGTAGTTTGTATTGCATGTGGCAATACAATAATACTTTGTAGATTTTTCTACTACAATAATAATTTAATATACCACATTAATCAAACACAATATACGACAGTATAAAATAAAGTCATAATCAAATATTTTAACGTTGAAAAGAACAACAATTTGGTTCCACATCTTTTATGGAGGATTAATATCTTAACAAATGGAAATATAATTAATTTATATTTAGCTTTTTTTTTTTTTTTTTTTTTTTTTTTTTTTTTTTTTTTGCTTTTGAATTGAAGGGATTTATATAGCAATTTCGATCAGTTCCGACATAGTAATTTTTAGTATGGGAGTGGATTTTCATTTAATTTGTAAATGTTAGTTATAATTAATTCACAAATATAGTTCCTTTGTCGAACATTATCTTGTTATGTTCCTGAATCAAATAATCTTCTCAAGAGTTTATATTTAAGTCCATAACAGTACTGCCAACTACCTAGTTTTCCTGGACTAATTAATTCTTCGGCTTAATTATTGATCAAGGAAACACCAATATAATCTTCGATATTTCTTAAGCAAATTAGAAACTATGATATTTGAATAGTTTCAACTAACTTTATGGAAACTTTGACATTTAAACATGGGATTCTCATGAAGAACTTGCTTGCGTCATGGCAAACGCCGTAGGGTTTGATTTTATACAAAAGTCAATGGCTCACGGTAAACTATTGGACCAAGATAGAGGCGTATTAAAGGTTCTTTAATTTCTGATCGCAAAAACTACAAAATGGTTCTTTAATTTCGTGGTTCGGCCTTATTATATGGTTGTTGAAATGATTGCCGAAATGCCATTTTTAGTATAGTAATTAAATTTGACATAAGAAGCTGTTAAGAGTATATACAATAAAATGTCAAATTTCTATGTCAAGCTTGAAATTTGATATTTTGAGAAGAAAACTATTGTCTAATACAATGTTTAAATTTGACTCCACAAACATATGCTAAAATTTAGCATTTAATGCTTATTGATTGGTAAAATAGATAATATCACTTCAATATCAACTAACAACTGACAATTTTAAATAAATAGAGACATTAAGTGCAAAATGTTGTAACTTTAATGAGTTTTAATAGTAGTGAAGAAAACATTTCATTCATAATATAATTATTAATATATAATTTCAAATTATTGTTCAATGGATATACGGTTATCTTTTTTAAATTTTAAAAATCACCTAATTTAAGTCGAGTTTGGGATCGGAGATTTCCCATTAGAGAAACTATTTCCACACACTATCTATTTACCCTTTAAAAATAAAATAAAAAAGTTCTTAAAATATTATCAAAAGTAAAAAATAAAAAAAAGTTTCACTAAATTAATTAGAAAATACAACAACATAACTAGTAATATCTCAAGAAAATAAATTGAAATAATAAAATCAAATCTAAATTTGAAAAATAGCAAACACAAACTAATTATCCTAACTTTTGGCGTGTTTACTAATTAGGAATTGAATTTCAGAAAAGGAATGTAGTCTCGCATTAAAATAAATTTCTATAAATTTTGAGTTTTTATTTTTTTCGATTTATTTTTTCATGATTTTATTACT